TCGTCTTTTGAAGCAAATAAAGAAACTTGAGAACACAAAAACAAAGTTGCTAAAAAAAGGGTCGAAGATTAGACAAAGAGTGAAGGACGAAATTAGAAAGTATGGAGAAAGAGGAGGAGGAGGGACCTTCATCTGGATCAGTAGTGGCTCTGGTTCGGTTCTGTGGTCGAACCAAATGAATTAAACAAGACCAAACTAAGATCGTGAGATACAGAGACCGGCTTAACCTCGGCATCGTCGGCGATCAAAGATGCGTATGCTTAGAGATGGATCCGAACTTGACTAAACTCGCCATCTTTTCTTAATGGGTGTATTTATTTAACTTTAAAAATTTAAAACCGTGTTTTTTGCATTATAATATTGTGAATTTGTAACCATGTGGGTAAGGTTTATTTCTTGTATTAGTCTTTGTTTACTTATCCAATAATAAAACCATAAAAAACAAAACACAAAAAAGGTGGCGGAAAGCTTAAAAACAGGCGGCCCTCGCAATTCACTTAGTCGTTGATCATCATTAATTAGTAAACTAATGGAGAGATTAGTTATGATGATTATGTCCAAAAAGCCGAACCGGCCGGTTCAAACCGATTAAAAGAACCGTTGACCAAGAAGGGTTCAGGTGATTTGGCTTTAGCTATACATGAGCAGTTGTTTATTATTTGAATTTCGATTAGTTGTTGTAGATAAATATCCACGAAAAACGATGCCATCAAATTGGTTTATATTAATTATTATAACACGACCATAAACGATAGAATTATTCTTATGGTCAGGAAAAGGACGTCAAATACGTTTGACCATACATATGCTTTTCAAAACTTAATTGGTTGTTTTTTTCCACGAAAGCAATCTATTGTATATCCTCTAAGAAAATAATACAATTATATCTATTTTTTGCATGACTTGGTCGTCAACGTTTACTAGATTTGGTCGAGAATGGGTTCTCAAAGTCAAAGCTTTCTTAGCTCTTTAGTATCTATCTACCAAAGTACCCTCGAATATCCATGGGCCGAATTTGAAATTGTTTTTTTTTTGTCTTTGGGCTTTCTGATCGCTTTTGCAAAATAAAAAAGACTGTTTTTCAAGGCCTCGGAGAAAATGGGCTCTCTGTGCAAACAAAGTTTCACAAAAACTCATTTCACTGACTGACCTACACGATCCATTGTCATTTATTCTCTTTCCAGTCCTATATTTTTAGCTCTAAATTTTGAAAAATCAAGAAAGTGTAGAGGATAACTGTACGAGGCTGATTGATAACAAAGATCCAAGTTACACACGAATATCCTAAATCGGAAAGGAAAAAAATAAAGAGCAGAGGCTTTTGCAAGCCTATATCATGGACAAGTGAAACATCGTTTAGGACTATATCAATTTACGAGGGAA